TATAGTTCCGAGGTACTTGTACTTCTCCACCTGCTCCACTGCCTCTCCGTTAATCTGAAGAGAGCAACGGTATGTGAACGAGACTTTCGTTCTAGGTGCGTTCACACGCATGCCGGTCACGTCGCACTCGGCTGCGAATCTTTCTAACGAGCACTGGAGATCAGTTTCAGAAGTTGCTAATAAAACAAGGGCGTCTGCAAACAGCAACCTTCTCGACTTCACGTCTCCTACACTGATACCCTCATAGCCTTGGCAGCTCCTGACTATTCTATCCATGTACAACACAAGCACGTTATGGGACAGTACGCAGCCTTGGCGGAGACCGACTAGAACATTAACTTTACTTAACTTCGATTTAACGCCATTGGCTTTTACTTTATTCTCCTTAAATTTAGCTTACCGAAAATTGTAATACGCTTGCCTACCTTTTAGCAAAAACGTTTTTTGGATCTCTTTTCATGCTGTGCTGGTTTCAGTTTTCTGATTCACCTTTCTATTCGAATTGATGGTTACAGTCAACGACAAACAACTCTTGCCATAAAGAGAAATGCTTTGATTTTGCCGTATTTTGAAAACCCATGCGCTTTACTTGGATGTCAGTTTCTCTTATCTGATAGTTTAAGTTCGTATGTAGTTAATAAATTTACTGATGCGGTAGTTGTTTAATTACATTTCAAATGAGAAATAGGCGAGAAATAGAATATCTAATGAGTTTTCTTTTATAAAATCTGCTATACGGTTATTAATCTTGAAAATATGAAAAATATCTTTCGAAGAAAGGTCTTCGAATATACTGTTAGTCTGGTTGTCCTACTGTACGATTGTCTCTGATTTATTGAAGGTTCAGAAATTTTGACTAAGCTAAGAAAAAGATCCTTGAATTTGATATGTTCTACTTTGAAAGTAAATTCAAAACTATGATAGTCACTTATTTGATATATAGTGGTCAACGTTATGCTCGTAGCCAGATCAACGAATCGTTGTGCATATTTGTCAACAGAAGCCAGCAGTTCCCTTGCCCTATGAACTGTACAGAATAAATGATAGCTAGAGTATCATTAGCCAGCTCTTGTGAAAGAGTAATAATGAAAACACTTGAGCTTTTCGTCGTGTATATCTCCTCATCGTAAAGTGTTGAAATTAAACTTTTTATCACTTTAAAAATAGCTAGTTATTTGCCAGAATAAATTGTTCCTGTCGGTAATAAATTAACATCCACTAGTTTACAACTTTATGTCATCGTGTTTCAGCTCATACGAAGCCTCCTAAGCAAATATTGTTCGTAAGTAATTATGTTTCAGCAGTTAGCACGTCTTGTATACTTCCATAGCAACATACAAAAATATGGGATGAAACAGCTCGAATACGTAAATATGTTCGAGCTCCTTATTTTTCATAATCAGTATTATTTTCTTTAAAATTTTTCATATAGTTAAGGTATGATTTAATGTATTATTGTCATTGCGTCTTGAAAGCATCTACCGTTGACTGATCTTTATTCAGTAAGAAATACGACCTTTATCTCAAGCGAATAACGCTATATGTCCTCTTTTCTAGCGTGGTATTCCGTTCGTACCAGTATAGGCTAAAACTAATTTGCATTAACCAGTCTAGAGAGGTAGGTGTAGATTTGGTCGCATTTCTCCTTAAACCTCAGCCTTCTTATAAGTCATGACGGAAAGTTAAATATGCAGCCAGCAATGCTGATGCTTAAGTATGATGGTTGTCTTAATAATAATCCAGTAACACCGTGGCGTTACCGGCTTGGACTTATTCCTAAATGACTTTCGGTCAATACCAGTATGGCATGTTACAGTTCTGTGGAAACAGCTATATGAACAGCCCTGTTCTTCAGCTCCTGTTAGCTTATCTGTCAATAACGGTGACATTACTGTTATCATTTAATTTATAATTTTTTTGCCAAAGGACTTTATGTTAATAAAATCTTGCTGGAAAGAAAAAATGCTGAAATGTTACATGTATTATTCAATGCGATTTTAGTGTTTCGTTCACAAAAGCGTCATTGGCGAACTTAAACGAATTGTCGAAGAAAGTGAAATAATGCGCGAAGACGATGCGATGTGGCCACAGCCGGACAGGGTTGGTCGACAGGTAGGGTTCATCTTGTACTTTGAAGTAGAGGTTCATTTGAGACAAGAAAATTTTTAAAGTTATTACGAGTTGTTAGATGGCTCAAATAAATACATGTTGAATGTTTGAACAAGCAACATTTACATATATCATCCTTTTTTCATAGGGATGGCACAATGTATAAGTTTGTCATATCATTTCGAAATCTTGTGCTGTTGATCATCCAAGTGATATTAAAGCTCATTTCTATTTTCTACCGTTATCTGTTCCAAAATCAGATGGCATTATCATAAAATTATTATTGCAGGTTTAAGTAATGTAAGTCTGGCAGCATCTTGGTTTATTTGGCATGAGACCTTAAAGCTGTGTTTCTTGTCAGCATGAAAATATTTGTTGCAGACGTTGTTGTTCTCATGCTAATGCAACAAATGCTATGGGAATTTGAATGCTTCTTGCGAACTAAATCGTTAATTTTTAGGTTTACTTTTGGCTAATATATTTTGTATTTAATTAGTTTCCGAATGGAATAAACATAAATATAAGCACTACTTATTTTAGACAATGCGTAATTCCTACAAAATTGGATTTCACAGTATAGAGAACCTCCCCCTTCTTCTAGTAGTCTAAGGGTCCCTTTAAACAGGCCTCTGTTCGATGTTATTTTAGCACCTGGATGCATGGAGGCAGAACTGACCGAACTGTTCACCTACGAATTGCCACTAACCGTTGGTGCTGAAACATCCCTTCAGCAGTGGCCTATTACAAAACAG